CCCCCCAGAAGTGGCTGCTTTCCAGCCACAGAGGTGACTGTTTGCAATGCACCCATGGGATGAAGGGGCTAACACAAGCCTCCCCACACTGCTCTTCTCCCCCAATTGGGGGTGGGTGTCGACCTCTGACCTCCCCCCCCAGAAGGGCAGGGAGAGCAATGCAGGTGCATCCAATCCCCTCCCCAGTGGACCGTGGGAAAGTGACCCCCTCCCCCGCCAGTTACCTGGTAGGGGAATCCTTGTGGGCAGTCATCCAGTGCCACCGTCCGGGCCAGGTCTCTCTCCAGGATGGCGAGGTCCTTCACGTAGTAGCCCTGGAGGCAGAGGCAGTCCTGCTGATAGAGGCAGTGCCTGGAAGGAGAGGCGGGGGCCAGGCCTGGGGCCGAGGGGGGGAAAGGGAGGAGACAGGTCTTCTGAGGATCCAGCACATCCAGCATCTTCTCGGCATGGCTCTGCTTGGCAGTGGTGAAGACAAAGATCTGGGGAGCGCAAGGGCAGGAGTGGGAAGCTGCTCCCCCCCACGGCCGGGGGCCGGCAGCTCCCAGGACCCCACCTCGCATCCCAGGGGTGGGGTTAGCCAATGGGGATCTGGAGGCATGGGGAGATGAACTGGCCATGTCAGGAGTCGGAAGCAAGGGGGGGAATCTTTGGATTCTAGGGTCACCCCAGGGCTGGAATCACAAACCGGGAAGTGGCTCTTCAGTCCCAAGATGCCCCCACAACTCAGGTCTGGTTTTGGGGCATCTCCCTTTCCTCCTGCACAAGCTTCTCTTTCGACCCCCATTCTCTCCGGCAGCCAGGGAGGGCGGGGCCCAGCGGGTACCTCATAGGTCTTGGAAAGGGTCTCCAGGAACTCCTGCACGTGGGGGCGCAGCTTCAGGTAAGCCTCAAGGAAGCAGGAAGCAGGATTGGGCCCCCACAACTCAGGTCTGGTTTTGGGGCATCTCCCTTTCCTCCTGCACAAGCTTCTCTTTCGACCCCCATTCTCTCCGGCAGCCAGGGAGGGCGGGGCCCAGCGGGTACCTCATAGGTCTTGGAAAGGGTCTCCAGGAACTCCTGCACGTGGGGGCGCAGCTTCAGGTAAGCCTCAAGGAAGCAGGAAGCAGGATTGGGGGGCCCATTCCCGGCACGTTCTCCCCCCCCCCCCCCCCCGCGCACAC